TAGAGGGAGTTCGGGTGTATCTGTTGTAACTCTGGCGGCCGGGGGACCTGACCGCTGCGCTGGGCTCTTAGGGCTCAGGGGAGCAGCGCTGGGCTCTGTTGATCACCACCTGGGCAGGGAGGGCCTGTGCTTGCAGCGTCGCTTTCTGATGTGTAATTTCCTGCCTGTGACAGCGTTGCTTATGTTAATTATACACAAAGCTCAGAACAAGGCTTTTCCTAACCTGTATTTTTCCTGTCTTAGCTTAAAAAAACCCCACTCTAACATGTTTTGGGCATAGCTGCTTCCCGTTGCTATTCTGGTTGTTACGGTCTTACCCGTTGCACGAGTTGGGGTAAGGGCTCAGCTGGGTCAAAGGCTCTCGGACTTTAATCTTTGTAATGTGCCAGGTGTTCCCAGAGTGACCGCGGCTTTCTTGCAGAGCAAAGAGATTACACAATCTGTCTGTCGTCTTCTTACAGTCCACAGAAGCTTTGGAATTCATGAAACGGGACCTGGCCGAGTTCACTCAAGTAGTGCAGCATGACACAGCCTGCACTATCGCTGCTACGGCCAGTGTGGTCAAGGACAAGCTGGCAGTGAGTATGGGAGTAAGAGAGTTGGGATTCTTGTTGGAGAAAGCAAAGCGGGGGGTGAATAGCCTCTGAGGAGACGATCCTCTGAACGAAGCCCAACGTATAACCATGAGCTTCAGGTTTCAGACTTTCTCCCCGGTGCAGGTTTGGTGCTGAGCACTGCGTGGCATTTCCTCGCTGTAGTGGTGAGGAACCTCCGGAGACGAGTGGAGACGAGTTCCCGGTGCTTCCCCTCTCCCAGTGCGCCGTGTAGGTGGGATCCTGGCAGCGTCACTGCAGTGTGACATCGGATCTCTGCACGAGCTGTCAGCCTTAGCCCTGCGCAGCTGCCACTGTGACAGTCCGACCCCCAAACCGGCCAGCCCCCGAACCTGGCTGTGTCGTTCCCCGCAAAGCCTAGGCTCAGTTCCCAACTATTACAGGGCCTGCCTGCCCCACCGCCACCTGAGGCTAGTGCCTGCCACCACACCCTTCTCCTAGCCCAGCCCTGGCCACACGATCGCCTCACTAGCACTTCTTTGAAGGGAGAGACATCCTGCTTCCTTAAAGGAACCTGTCCAGAAAAGACTGAGACTTGTCCTGCTGCTGCAGGTACTGTTGCTTACACCGTGCTGCTTTTTCTCTTCAAGAGGACAGAAGGTTCCTCAGGTGCGACTGAAAAGGTGAGGAAAGGGCTCTCTGACTTCCTGGGTGTCATCTCGGACACGTTTGCTCCCTCGCCGGATAAGACCATTGACTGCGATGTCATAACGCTGATGGCAACACCCACAGGTACCACAGAGCCCTATGACAGCGCCAAGGTGAGTGCCCTGTTCCCGGTGCTTCTCTCCGGGACGTGGAGTCCCGAGCCCTGTC